GAATGGCAGCATTTCGAACTTGAGACGCTCAAAGTCCGGATCCCAGGTCCTGCAAGCCTGTACGGCTGGCCGAGAGCGGTTAATAAGCCAAACTGGCCATCTAGATCTACTTTGTCTTCGCTGGCCCTCTCCTTCTGCATGTATACTACTCCTACTCAAAAAGGCTTAATGTGTCGTAAGAAATAAATTTGGCAAGGTGGCTGTGAGACCGATCGTAGTTGTTGCAGTGGAAACCACGTCCGATGAATAAGGGTAAGGTTCGATTAGTGAAGTGGAGCTTTTTACCACTGTTCGTCTGCCTCACTCATAGTTGGCATCGAATTGCCAACAACGGAGTTAACATTGGGACGACTATGTACCTCAAGACAGGACCTTAAAAGCGGTGAGACCATCCTTAAACTGCTGGACTAGTTACATTGCTCCTAATGTCCAATGTTAACAGCACCGAAGTGAACAATACTTCAAAGTTGAAAATGGTTTTCAGAAATTGTCAACTAATTGCACATAACCACCAGTATCGTCAGAGTCAATCAACTTGCTCTAGGCTCAGAAGCCTCGCAAGCCTTATGCGTGGCGGACGTCTTAATTGCTGTGAAATAAACAGATTCGGGGTTTTCTCGCGGACCCAGTGCAATCATGCTGTTAGAATTAACCTTATTGTGGCACAGCAATAACAGACGGTCACTACATTACGGAACTTTTAAGGTCAGAGAATTCAAACGGCTGCTTGTTATACTGTGCTGGACAAGACTCGTAATATATCGGGAAATTCTTAAGATACAATTCGGGTCCTTGCTGGTTTCCTATGAAAAGTACGTGGAAATAATGACAGCCTCGATGACATTTATACAAGGTTAGTTTATCTACTCTAGAACAGATAACAGAAGGTTTATTTATAACGGACAGTTAGTAAGAAGTTATACTCCGAATCTTGTCATTTTACGTGGGGAATGCTACAGTTTTAAGAGTTTGGAGCATTCACTCGAGTATGCGTGCCAAAATATCTACAAGCTTTGTAGATCATTGCAAAGAGTACACAATTATCAGTAGATAAGTGCCAGTTTATGAGACCACCGGTATAAACCGATGAGTCATGTCGTTGGGTCGCGTTCTGCACAGTGCGGTCGGCAACTGACTTGGATAAAAACACAAGAACTGGACATTTTGGAAATAAAACGAGATGGGCTGTCAAACGTTAATTCAGGTAAGCGATCTTTATGGGCTAAAAAACTTCAAAATTCCTCTTATCATACTCCACGAGAGCTCATGAGCGGATGACAGTCTCCGGGCTGTATGCGCTAGCGACTACTGCATTAACTTATTAAATGTAATAAATAAGATATGTCCGTAGTAGAAAAATATTTCACTAACTGATGCGGCGATACTGTGTTCTTTAAGAAGACCAACGAACGGCCAAACAATCTGGCTGTGCATAGTTTAAAAGACGCTTGCCTTTGTTAAATACCTTTTTACAAATAATAAATATGAAACGTCAGGTGCCTTCCTCTGAATCTGCTACTTATATCACAAACATTTCTGTGGACGAGGGCAAGGTTGCAGAGGGAGGTGGGCGTAATGTAGTAATCGAGGCAGCATCTGCTTGCGTGAAGATAAAACCTCGAATTTTCGGGTATGATTTGCACTGTTTGATAGGAAAAACTCTACCCGAATCGCAGTCTAGCATTTGCATTCTCGCCCTACAGCACCCGCGTTCTCGCTTTCCATTCGCGAACAAATTGTTTTTAGGGGTGAGACGGACAAAACAAGGATGTGAAACAAGAAAAGAGCATCCGCGCAGCTGCGGTAACTTGAAGGTCAATGCTTTTTTGGCAAATACGGTGTCACTGTGAGGCTAAAATGACAGACACACCATCACCCCCGCCCCGCATCTTAGGTGATTCCCGCAGTTCTTAAGCCTAGGCATGCCCTGCCTATTTCTGTACACTTGCCGAATTTTCCAGTCGCTATTACAGTTACACGGCGCCATGCCTGAAAATCCGGTAACAAAAAAGCAATCACCCGCAGGCTTCTGTCGTGAACGCGTGACGGCAGCTAACCTATACGCCTGCCGGCTCCTCAGCGGTAAGAACCGCACGCCGACGCAGCACGGTTAAAATCAGGCGTCAGTAAAATCATTTTTGTTGACTGAATTTTTATGCGCACTTTGCGTATGACATTGGATATAATTTTGCTGTCAGGGTTTTTATAATATAGCAGTGCAACGGAGCACTTAATAAGCTACATTAACACGAAGATTTGAAAAACTTATCAAAATTGTGGACTTTTATTGAAAGTACGCACAAAAGATGCGAAAATGATACACAAAGCAGCAGTTACGAGTAAAAGATGTGCTGAACCAGGCACAGGCCTGGTTTTCGAACACACGCAAACAACGAGCGCGCGGCGACAACAACGCTGATTACGATATATTCCGTAGTCAAGTATAACAAAATGTTAACATTACAATCAGAAAAAAACGAAACAAAACGCACCGCATCATCCGAAGTTTAGAGGATAACGCAACAATATGATGCACAAAAATAACGACAGGATTACTCAAAAAACGATGATTAGGGTACTTTGAATAATTTTTTGTAGCATTCGGGTACACCGATGATCTAAAAAGAAAGACAACTGCATCGATTTAAGTGGAAGATGTATAATAATTTACTCAAGTTGTTTCTGTTGCGCTGAAATGGCTGGGAGGCTGTTTCTTCCTGAAAGCGGATGGGGGTTGTCATTCGTTAGTGGCATTTTAAACGAATAAAATAATCGTCTTTACGCGGTGGCAGTAGTGGGGGAGAGTGTGAGGTCGACGACTCAGCGCATTTCTTATCTCCTTTTAAACAGTCTGACGCAGTGGGAGTTATCATCTTGCTATTAAAGCCGGGGCTTGGAGGTTCGCCAACGAATAATTCGGACAACTTGGTTAGTCAAGTGTGTGTTTTCTTGTTCGTAGTGGCTCACCTGCGCTTTGAGTCAGGCTGCAATGGATACGTTTTAATGGAACCTTTATGACACTTTCATCTAGTTCGGGTGTAAGTCAAGTGTTATGATATGCACATGAGGGGCCGCAACGCGCCTGATAAAACTTCCGGTGTTCTTGGCTATACCTTGACACCGGACAAAGGTGGGTGAGGGAAGAGTGAGTGCTATGGATGTGACGCAAGTGAACTATCGCTTAAAAAGAATTCTCACGAAAGTAACCTTCCCTGCAACATCCTGTTGTGGAGCATAGGCTTGACATAATGTTATCCGTTGTTCGATCTGTCAGGTATCTAAATGGGCTCTTGCCTGCCTCATACGTCCTCCCATTCCATTTCAAATCAAGTTTGATGGCAAAGTCGTGTTCTTTGTCTAATGATCTCCTTTTCCGTTTACGTTTATCGGCTATTTTCACAACATTATCACTCCCCTGTTGTGGATGCGCCGCAATTGTACTATCATTTATAACTAGCCCTCGTGCA